GATCAGGGATGGGCAACTTAAATGATGAAAGGGACAATCAGTCGGCCAAACTGTATATGTATGTATAAATACACACATTTTTGTTGTTGTTTTATGTATTTTTTTTAAATAAAGATCTATTCTATTCTTTTAGCTTCTTTAGAAATGCTAACAGCACACTGTACCCGTAGCCCAAGTTTATAACACACTGACATAGAAATTCATTTTACTTATTAGATTTCACATTATGCTGTTTTGYGTGGTTTGACACAAAACAAGCATTTATTTTAGTTTTAATTTATTCTATTTTCAGYGTTTGTCACCAACGTGACCTGGGATTTGCACACAGTCAACCACGCACAAACACACCTGCATGATTTCTGCACAATCACTGGAGTCTACGTAACAACACCGCCTCCTGACGCGCCTCGAAGGATTTAAAGCGAAATCTGTGTTGCTCGACCCGAGCGGCGCACGTGTACACCAACATCTGGCTCTTGTGTGCGACTTAATTTAAGCCATCTGTATGGAAGACAGGGGGGACGGCAACCTCTTCCGCAGTTCTCTCGTCGGGGCAGAAATTATTCTGATGACAACTTAAATCTCACCCCTGGGATAAGAAAAATCACTCCGCAGCCTGAGAAGTAAATCGCTGAGAAAAGCAGGAGAAACCCCCCCCCCCCCCCCCCCCACATTGTAAATTGGGACAAATATGTATTATGCATCAGGTGAAGCGCAACATGCCATGGCTTTGGCTGACTTAGTAGTTAGAAGTTGAATTGTTAGTATATTCAGGTCATTTCATGTGGTTCTTTAGCATTTGCTAAAATAAAACAGGTTGGCATGCGTTAACTTTTGACACACTCACTGTCACGAGAACAGACAGGAAAAACAATGGCATGAAGTATGCAGAATGCTCAAATGTGCGACATTGAAGTTTGGCCCTTTGATTTAGGTTTTCCTGACAAGAAAACTACGTCTGCGCTTCAGATCTTTTCCAGTTCAAAAGGCCAAACGTCAAATTTTAGGGCAGGAATGACAATGACTGCAAACAATGAGGGAATGAAGCAAAGGAACAGGAGGGCAAGTCCATGCAAATACCTGAACATAAAATCGACACGAGCGCTCTCTCTTCTGCAGCTGCAAGCCAAAGAAGAGGCAGAAAGAGTTAGAGGGAAATGTACTACTTGAAGAATAAATTTCAACACAGTCAAGAAAACATTTTCATCGAAATTTACAACAAAAGCACCATTTGATGACAAAATTGACCTTTTTTGTGCTTCATATCATGTTATAATGTCCCTCATCAAAAACATACCCAGAGTGTTGCTTTGACCCATTCATGTATGTTTGAGAAATCCTTGAATCCTGTGGAAGCCATCAGGAGCTGCCAAAATACTTGCTGACGCAAAGCACCACCTATTTACACAAAGCTCCTCCCCTTTTTCTTTATAACAAAATGTGACAGTCCTACAAAAGGTTGTAAATGTCATGAAGCATTGTTGTGAAGACACACTGAAGTGGGAGTGTTGATTGTGGTGTAGAATTAAACTATGTCCCTGGAAAATATAAAATACCCCCCCTTTAATTTTCCTTTATTACATTTGGAAAAATCTGAATGTGAAATATAAATTTTCATGATAACTAGGTTGTTTAAACAAATACAATTAGTTTTTGAGTATGTGTAGAAAAGGCTTGATTTGCTTTGAACAAATAGTAGCAGCCAGATCCTGAGACACACCTACATGTTTGGATCTCATTACATCTGAATATATTTTTTCATGCTTTGGGAGTCCTTTAAATGTCACTTGACAAAAACGAGGTTGGCTCCGGTGTGTCGTTTTCCCAGAACAGCTGCTTTACTATCCTGATTGATGTCTTGCTGCGGTGATCTTTGCAGCATGTTCTCACCTCTCTGTAAATGACTTTTGAAGCTCTGTTAGAGTGACCATCACCAAAGACCCTCATTCGCTCAGCTTTATTGGACAGCCAAACCAAGGAGGAGTCCTAATGTTTTCACACTCCTTTCATTTCACAATCACTGAGGTCATTGTGCTCCTGGGAGCACTCAGAGGTTTAGAAATGGTTTTATCCCCCCTGCCCTGATCTATGCTTTGCTGCAGTTTTACCTCAGAGATCTATAAAGAGTTCTTTGGACTTGATAGCTCAGTTGTTGTTCTGACACCAGAGTAAATTGTGGGGCCTCTACAGACACCTGGTGCCAGTCATTTACCGTGAGCTCTAYCCGCCCTGTTTCACAAAACAGGCATTAGCACCTTTTGTCCACATGCAAACAGTGTCTTTGGTAAAAGTAAAATGATACTTTTAAAGAGAAGCTTTTCAAATAAAATAAATTTTTAGTGTCTGTGTCATCTTGACAGTCTGATATTTTCAGAACTGCTGACGTAGCAACCTACTTCACACACACAAACAAAGACATTTTTAACAGTTTTTCAGAACCTGGCATGCTTTAGTTTCGGGTTTGTGTCCATTAAACTTGTACCAGGAATGAATGGATGGTTAACTGTGTTCAAGCAAATATGAACTGCAATTGTTTTGGAGGAGTCTATGATCTCAATCAGAATGTAAGGACCAGGACCAGGATTTTAGCTAGAGGGGCACTGTGGTGTCTTTTTGATGCTCTGCTTGGTCTCCTAATGCCTTCTTTGAATGTGGCGACCCCTCAGCTTACCTTCAGTGAGTCGTGCCGATCTTTGGGAAATTTACCAGACATTCATATGGATCCAAAATACACTAGAAAGGCCAACTACTCAGTCAGAATTAGGGTGAGGGTGGGCCTTGGGTCTTGGCAAAACTTTGATCCAGCACTGAGCATGGGCCGCGATTTTATAAAGCCAGAGGAAGACACAAAAAATAAATTGTGCCGGCTTGGACAGAGGCGATGGGTAGCTATGTTAGCTTCAACAGTGGCTGTTCTGTGTTTTTGCCACAATTTTTGCTACCTGGTCCACCCGTAACATGTTTCTCCGTAAATTTTGTAAACATTTGTAAACTTTTTAAGTAGCAGGGGATGATGACTGCAGTTATTTTATAAATCCAGTGAGAGACATATAGTAAAGAACAATTAGTGCCTTGCTTGGACAGTGGACATGAAATCATTCTTACAAATTCAGTAGTTGTGTGTTTTTGCCACAATCCCTGCTCTGTAGATTCTGTAACCATATTCTGTAAATTTTGTAAACTTTGTTAAACTTCAGAAGGAGAGGTTAAACTGTCAACATCTTCTTTCACAATTCTATCTAAAACCCCGTCTAGGACAAACTAAAAATCATTACCTGAAGATGTACAGTAGATACCTTTGGTTTAAATTAGTGGCGTTAGCATTGCACGAGGAATAAATAACTAATAGATGAGAACTCCTAATATTGTCAGTTTAGTCACCAGAGCACCTGGTTTGGTACCTAAATACCAATCAGATTAACTACTTCATAATAACTGAGCTTCCATCACAGTCCAGTCCTCTGGAAATGCTCCCGTCTTTACCGTTAGCCGGTAACACGTTGATCATGGAAACGACTGTGATCTCAACGTTTGCCAACTCAATCCTTTCATTGTCTGCTGGCACACAGCTCAATGCTTTGCTTGGCCAGAGGRAAAAAAAACAGGTTAAAAAAAGATCTTTATAATTTGTTTAGCTCTTTGCAGATTGTGTCGAGATGATTGAACCTGAGAGGTAAACATCAGTGAGTGCCAGAGCAATGAAGATGGTTTTGAGTGCCTCCTGAGGAGAGGCCGTGGAAGTTCAAAACAAGATGAACTATATTCTGCAAAAAGGGACTATACATCTGTAGGCTTAGAATAATTTATCACTGAGTTGCTTCTGACCTCTTAAATAAATTATTCTGACTGTAAAAGCTTTTTTTTTTCTATTCAACTCTGTACAGCTGCTTTTTAGCACCATTTCCTCAACTTTATAAGAATAACTAAAGACTAGAATAGCATTATTTTATGAGAAACCTTTCTTTCAAGAGGTGTTATAAACTCCCCTGGCTCCTGGATGCGAATTTACTCATTGCACTTTTGCTCTGAGGCCATTTGGGGGCCTTTTTTTAACTGCCTTCCCTCTCAATCGGAGAAAACTGGCACTAAAATCTATGGGGACATCTGTGYCTGCCGTGGCAATGCAATTAAAACTGTCATCACGACCCCCACCTCAAAAAAACCATATAAAACACCATCTGAGAACAGGTGTTGATGTGTGCCGACAAGTGAAGCCACTCCGGGAAATTAACGACTGACATTTCGAGTTTCACTGATGTTGGGTGTTCAGGCGACTGAATTATCTCAGCTCACTTTATCGGAGTGACTGACTTCTGAGCTCTGATGTGAAYGGGAGAATAAATTCATTAGCTTCTAGTTCAGCCAGCAAAAACACTGTATTGTTTTGATGGATCTGATTTACTGCCCTTATAGTCAAGAGGTTCAATGTAGTGTATTTGGCTGTTTTATACTGCACTGTTGATGAATTAATATCTTAGCTGTCGTAGACAGCTCACTAAACAACCTTAATTTGGAGAAACAGAGTTTGAGTCTGATCAAATTGACGAGCTAATGGCTAGTCTAAGCAAGGCCAAAATCAGAGTAGATTGTTGTAGATTGTTAAACCACATTTGCCCCCACCCCGCCACATTGTGTGGCACGCAAGAGCTTCAAAGATGTATTAATATCTTAAAATAATATATGTTGCTTAAAACCAGCATTAACCATAAACTACATCTTTTACATTAATTGTCCTTTTGGGACCCGAATAAATCTAAAACTGGACCTGAACCTGAATCTCCCATAATGCATGGGTTCAAAAGTAGCTGACAGCCTGCTAAATTCACCATGTAAAATCTTTCATTTTGCTGCATTTTCACCGGCTACTTTTTCTGTGGCCCAGTTTTATTCAAAAAGTGGGAATTTCCCACTTAAAACTCCTAAATTTAATCTGGAACGCCCCTCCACTGGGGAATCCCTGTTGGAAAGTGGGAAAGTTCAGAATTCAAGATGGCAACAACTTACCACAACTCTACAATAAGTAAAACTCTCTTACTTTTAGTTTTAATAGTATTTATGTATTATTTGTTTCACATTTAGTCAGTCGTACACGTAATACTTTTCAGTGTTTATACAAGGACTTTAAAATGCCGTTTTTATTTTATTTTTTTATGTTTTCGGGTGTGTTGTCTTGTGATTTCTTTAATATATACACATATCTTCTAATCTCTCTTTCACTCTTTTCTATTACATTTCACTATTCTCTTACTTTTTCTTCTTAAAAACGCCGATTTTATGCAGGAAATACCAGGTAGAGCTCAGTTATTGTTTGCTAGCTGTGCTCAGCCGTAGCAATGAGATGAGGAATATGACGTTTTGTATTTAATTGAAGTTAAACATGAAACGGTAATTGCAACTGGCTCTTTGAGGGTCATCACAATACTCATGTGGCCCTCAGTGAAAATGAGTTTGACACAATTCTTAAATGACTGAAAGTCCCAGGCATTTCCAACTGGGATGAGACCCCAGAGAAGGCACAGGACACACTAAAGAGACTCGACTAATGTAGGGAGAATAAAATATAAAAGTATGAGAGTATATAAAAATACAAGTATTAAACACAAAAGCATTAAAAAATAAGTAGATTTTAGTTTAGTAGACTGAAAACCCACAGTCCTCTCTTGTTTTTAGATGAGAACATAAATCCACTAAAGTCCTTGATCAGAAAGCCTTGAGTCTAAGGAGAGTAAGGGACTAAAAGTTCACTAATGAAAGCAGGGACCTGTTAGAAGACAGTGGTAGCATGAAATTTTAGCTTTGATGCTCAGACCTGCCGTTAGCTCGACAATATGTCCAGAAATGAACCTTTTCTCTCCAAACTCATATATCACCAACAGAACATATATTATTGTTCATAATCTCTCCACAGAACCCCACTTTAGATTAAGCTTCTCAGTAAATCTAAATTAATCCTGTTATATAATAAAGTGGTCAGTGTCTCTATATCCCTTTGAAAAAAACTAGTGTTTTAKTTGAAAACAAACGGGGAAAGTCACTTAGGTGGAGTTTAGATATTTTTAGGTATTAGTACCTTGTTGAGGCTCCGGGCTGCGCTGTCCTTGCCGCCTGGCGTGAGGTTCCTCAGCTGCACATCCAGCAGGTCCACCAGCTGAATCATGGCCTTCACAGTGTAGGTGATGTCGCCTGCCTGAAGGTTACTCTTTGTTTGCTCCGCCAGCTCTCGGGCAATGACCGCAGCGGTCTCTCCAGCTTTTAGCTGCCGAAATGAAAAAGAAAACTCATTCCAGTTCWCCTGGAGCAGCCGACGTACATGTTTCTGTACAACTGAGCAGAGATCCAAACTGGATACATGGGATTACAAGGTTTGTTGCAAAAACAAGATTGTTGTAAAGCAAAACTCTGTTTGACCTAAACTTTTTGCTAACTGATAAAATACTTCAGGCAGTAAAATGCGTGTACAGTCAGTCAGCTGAGCATACACCTGGGCATAATATTATTTCTTCACGTAATTAAAAAACTATTGAGGAAATTTCCCCTGATAGTCTTACACCTTTATGAAACTAATGCAGACCAAGCAACTTTGAAAGCAGATAATAGAGTCAAAATGTTAAGAGACACCTTTGAATGTATTTGTTTGTACAAAATGGCCTTTTTGTGTCTCAAATTCCTTTAGAAAATCTAATAATTCGAACACTTCCATTTCATTGTTTTATGATAGTAGGAATTAATTTATTTGATTTGCATAGTTCAAGCCAATATATGCCAATCAGATCCATGCTATAGGATTAATCAACACGTTCTCACTCCCAACTCCGTCTGCATGCAGTTGTTTATCTATTTGGTTTTTTAAACCACTTCAGTAGAAAGCATAACTGAATATTAGTTTCTTAGTTTCTTCATCATCAGTGGCTTTAATGGTTTTTTAAAGAAAAAAAAGATAGAGAAGAAAAAGGTGAAATTTAATGGGAAAGAGTGAAAGAGGGATTAGAAGATATGTGAAATATACATCGAGAAAACACAAGATAACACATTCAACATCTTAGCTGCACACCTGCAGAAACAGAGAGAACAAAAACACAGCAACAACAATGCATTTGTATATAATAATAATGACTATAACCTTGCTGAAAGGAACACTTAAACACACCCATACCTACATACATACACACACACACATACATACACATACACATACAGTATATATGCATACACATATACATACACCTATGCACATACTATTCAATCAGTGACCAACTAAAAAGCCCAGGATTTAAACATGCATGCAGTTTTGATGCGTCGGGTAACTCCCTCGCATCAGTTATTGATGCCCATGGCTTTTTCAGTTTGCACCACTTAAGGGTCTTTGGGTTGGGGGTCTGTGGTTAGTCAGGATCAGGATTAATGGTTAATTTTAGGTACTGTGGTCAGGGATAGGATGTACAGTAYGCATTCCTTGTAAAACGATTAATTTACAAATGRTTTCATATCTAATTTTCCAGTGGTTTACTACAGACCCCCTTTTATATCTACTTATAGACAGTAACTTATTGACCAACCAGACCAAAACAATGATGGCAAAGCACTGGGTAACCCTGTTTAAATGGTGCACCAGTTGATTGTCCTATGAAGATGGTTAAGTTCTGTTAAAACCAATAAAAACACTAAGTGATTTGAACTTGCTGTGTCTAATTCAACATCAGTTTAAAGTAACTGGGGTAAACAAATTTCACTGAACCAAATGAGAAATTAATCTGGTTCTAAGGCCACAAAGAGTCAGCCAGAGGCCAAAATCTATTTAAATGATGGACGATGTAATCTGTTGTTGGATGTGAAGTTGCGGAACTGCCTTAGATTGTGATCCTAACCAATGGCTGCCCAAAGTCTAGCTCCTTCACTAGATTTCCATTAAAAAAATGGAGTCAACTTCTCTCATGAAATGATGTCAGTAAATTATTCCCATGAGTCATTATGGTCTCATTAGCTAGATATACTCACTTTGATAAGTGTGCTGGTGATGCTTCTAAAAATATTTTCAGGATTTATTAGCTGTAGGTCATCAAAGAAAAATCTTTTTTATCTAGGTGATGTTTGAGGATGACTATCCAGGTCTACMTTTTATTCAGTCCATGGAAACCACAAAAAGACCGATGTAAGATTCAAACCCTGGCATCAGTTTATAAACCGAAAGACGAATCTACAAAGTGACTGCTCTATTTACTAAAAAATACTCAGAAATTAAAAAATGAACCAGTATTTCTTTTAAAATGCTCAACTACCTTCACACYTTTTACCACTAACTGTTGAAAGGACGACCATTACAAGTTTTAAAACTTGAAACTTAAAAACATTCAGTATGTGAATGCATGTGTTGTATACATTACTACAGGTGTTTTCTCAATCACAATAAATTTTGTTTAATGTTCCATATATCTATGCCTAGAACAACACTGAAAAAATGTAGCTTCTGTCTCATTTTTGCACAGCTTTTTATGGCKTTGTGAGGTAAGTGTGGTTGGAAGTAAAGAATGTCTAAACATGGCCTGTTTCCCTCTCGAATACTCTGCCACATGCAGAGGGCTGTCCAAGTAACACGAGGCTGCTCTAGATTTATGGACCATAACAAAAATTCTGTTACACAATGTCATGCTATGCAAACAGTCTGTACTAACACAGGATTGTGGCATAGCTGTGGCACTTTCATGTGCAATAATGGTTTTGCATCGGCTTGTTTTTGTTATTCGTCCCCTTTAACCATTAACACGTCTTTGTATTCTTGGTGTATTTACTAGGAGTGTAAATCACCTGCTTTATCACAGCATCATATTACACTGATTTGTTTGGATGACAATATGATATTTTTCAATATTGCRAAGTCTGTTATGATACAATTTCGATACGATTCAATTTAATTCACAAGTCTGCGATCGATATGGTGCAATATCATTTTCCCATCTAACACAACCGWTGTGTTTAATGAGCAAATATCAATCCACACCGGGCATATGACGACAATATGGATCAATGTTTTTTATCATTTCATTGACATACTGTATCTACTGGATATTTTGTGGTTGATAAACTGAATTTTAGATACAGTTTTGTATTTTAAATTTTGTGACCGATTGCCTCATTTACTTCAAACAGTAAGAGAATCAACAAGTCTCTATTTAACATGTGCCTCGCTCCAGCAGTGTAAACACATAATGTTTTACATTTCAATGATGTAAAACTGTTTTAAAGATACTACATTGTTTAGAATGACAGAATTTCTATAAAACCTTGTAAGGACACATGATGGGTGGCCATTTTGTTTAGATCTCCAAAGCTACAGTCAGACAGGCTCGGAGTGAAATGGGGTATGAAAATAAAMATTTAACTGAGAACTTAATCGGTTTTCTGCATATCAAATGGGCTTCCAATTTGAACAATTCATTACACATCAATGTGTATTGATGCATTGTTACACCTCTACAGTAGTATGTACTACATACATACTGGAGAAGATAGAGACAATAAAAAAACAACGCAAAACAACAAAAACATACCATTAATGTTGCTCAAATGTCTTGACTTCTTAAAAATGTTTAATATATTTCCATTTTGATTTCTGGATAACATTTTTAAAATATACCACCTTATGTAGCAGAATACGAAACAGTTCAGCAGTACCATTATTAAAATTTGGAAAATGAGTTGCAGGCATGCCAACCCATTCTCACTCCCAACTCGTCAACATATTGATTCTTGGTCAGGTACCCGTCTGCGTCCAGTTTTGACACGTCGGGTACACCCCGTGCGTCAGTTTTTTATGAGATGAGGCGGAGGAGGAGGAGCGCATTGTCATATATTTTTAAGAGTAGGGAATGCGCGAAACTAACCATCCCAGACCCTAAATTTAACTCCTATTAGCCCTATACAGCCTATCCCCGATCTCAGTAGCTAAAATTAACCATTAATCCGATCCCTCATATTAACCTCAGACCCCCAACCCAAAGACGCCTAAGTGACGCAACCCAGAAAAGCCGCGGGTGGCAAGAACTGATGTGCGGGGGTACCTGACACGTCAAAACTGGACGCAGACGGTCCCTGACCAAGTGTCAATATGTTGACGAGTCGGGAGTGAGAACGTGGTAGGCATGCAGCTGACTCGACTTAAAGTCTACCAGATGTTTGATGTTAGATTACTTCAGTGAACTCCAAATACACTCGGTAAAAGACAATTCAGCTACATTAGTTAGACGTATTCTGTGAGTTAGTTGTGAGTTTATTGGGGAAGTAATTAGGATTCCTAAATTGGTCCTCACAGAGGTGTTTGCAGGGGGAACGTGCCTTTGGAAGATGTTTTCCTCTTTGGTTTCCCTGAGCTCCTCTCCTAATGAGGTGAGTTGGGCACGCAGGGTAAATAGCTCAGCTTTCTTTCTCTTTTTTGTTTTCTGCTCATTCAGCCAGTGTGGCGTTATTTCCTTCACTATTTATTTCTCTACATCTTCCTTTCTCATTTTGTCTACAAAAAACCCATCTGGCATCAGGAGGTAATTCGCACAGGACAGTGACTATAGATATAAAATAACAAAGTGCCAGATGGGCATTGCGAATCCCTGGCAGGTTAATCCTCGTTAGAGCCTTTCTTTATCCACAGCAAAGGGCATAGTGCTCAAGAGTTCGTGTTTTTTTTTTATTAAATGATCAAGAGAACTATGTTTGAATTAAAAAAACACACACACTGCCTAAAACCTGTTGTAGATTCGAAAAGGAAATGCTCTGCACTTTTTTTTTCTAGACAGCAGAAGGTATAGGAGCTTTATTGCTCTGTTGGAATGGGGATGCACCATACTGAAATGCACCTGATAATTTCTTTACCACCATTCTGCTACCCAACAGCAATTTTCCATCCATATCTGAAAACTGCTGTTGGTTTAATGGGCTGGGTTTCTGCCGCTGAGTGGAACATAAATGTTATAACATGCACGCCTCGGGCTCCTATGCATTTAAGGGAGAGCATTTTTAACAATTCACAACCTGGAACCCCCRTATACACACACACACTCGCAGTCGCCCTCTCCATTTCTGTCTTTGATTCTATTACAGATTTAAATGTARGGAGCTTTATATGGGGCTTTGTGTAATCGCCTGTAGAGGGGGAAGATACAAGTCGTTTGTGCTCGAGCGGTCTGGAGAGCAAATAACTGCTGGATCATGTTGCCACGGCAGTCCATTACACCATAGTGCTTCGTGGTGTTGGGTTCCAGAGCACAACCAAACACATAAGCAAACAGAGGTCATCCTATTGAGTGCTCCCTCCAGTTAATCAATTAAATTAATTGACCAATTAGAAGCAGTCAAAGAACAAAAGCCACAAAAACTAGAGTTGACTTGATGTGAGAGATTTTGTGATCTGCACTGAGCTGCTGCAAGTGTTTTTCATAGAAATAGAGTAATACCATTAAAAATGCAATACTAAAGGTGGACCCCATTTTAAGCCTTTCCTGTTTTGTGCATGAAAGTCAAGGGTTAGTGGTGACCCACTGTTTATGCAATGTAGAAGAAAGTTGAAAGTGTAGGGCTTTCGTAGTTTAGACCAGTGTTACCAATGTAATAATTATTGAGTTGTGAATAAAAGTGGGAAGAAACATTCTAAAAGTTGTTTCTTCTTTACATATGTTTTTGTCATTTATGAGCTTGCAAGGGAGGTCCCTGGACAGAAGCTAATGCAGTTTGGGGGTTCAATGACATGGAAAATTTGGGAAGCCCTGGTTTAGATATTAAACATATTTTACTGCCACAACCATTTGGTCTAGTTTGACGTTTGGTATCATTGTCCATCTTCCTAAACAAGTATTTAAAAAAATCGTAAAATAGCATTGTACTTCCCTTGTAAGAGTTGTTTTTCTCACTGTCCCTGCAACCATTGTAATGTTTAGTTTTACAGATTCTGATGTTTGGCATCATTGCTGATATTCCTTAAAGGTATCATATCATGCTTTTAAATCCTTCTTTTTCAMGTCTAAATCATTCACTTATGGTCTATTTAAAATAAAACTGCAAYGCTTTGGTCTTAATTCCTCGTTTTTGTTGCTCCACAGACTCCTTGCTTTCCTTGCTTTACCCCTGTTCTGAGTTGCGCCTCAGAGCAAGCTGTTTTGGTGCGGTCTCTTTAAATACAAGTGAGATATTTCACACCCCGCCCCCTCCAGGTCGCTGAGCGTTCGACTCCACCCCGTTCGGCCATATTTGTAGTTTCATAAATGGTAGTTCCGAAGAAAAAAGTGTGACGAAATAAACAATGAAACGAAATAAGCAACAGCAGATTTTGAACAAACTGAAAAATTTGACCCATAAAAAAATGTAAAAATATCTTTGCAGTAACTGGACAGAATAAATTAAAGTTTTCTACACTCCTAGACACTATAATTGCACAAAAAAATAGTTTATACATGCAAAAAAAGTGCATTTAGCATGATATGTCTCCTTTAAGGAAGCATAAAGATACAAAAGCATCTTATGCTGTTTCTGTTCCAAGGTATGTGACTCAACAAAAATGTTTTTTCTTTATTTTTTATTTAATGGAGGTCTGCTGCTGTTTTTTTTTTAATTCTTATTTATTTATTTTTTGTGAAATAGTGTTCACATAAACAGCCTTGAAATTTGAGGCTGGAGCTGTTTTTTTTTTTTTTTGACAAAAGAAAGCAGGTCAAAAAATAAATGTTACTTCTCCAAATTGAGGCTGTTTAAAGAGATACCTTTCTACAAAGTATTCATTTTTCATGACCTTTCCATTGGTTATTTGTTTCATACAAAGCTTCATAACAAGCTTTTACAACAAGATTGTAAGATGTGCCTGGATTGTGTCAACTTGTTAACTTGAGGATAAATTTGAGGCAGTTGGTGCTGCTGAAGATCCTGCTAGAGTATCAGATACATAAAAGGACAACTTTGGGATGKTAAGCAGCCATGTCTCTCCATAAGCCATAGAAACAAAAGACAAATCTGCAAAGAAAGTCTAATAAGAGTCTAACAAYGGAGGGTTAGAAAAGAAAGCTAGAACCACATTATTATGACTAAATCAGGCACTTGAACGGTAAAAAAATTACAGAATTCACAAGAAACCCAAACTTAAGACTGTGACAAAGAAACACATAAGATTCATTTATTTTGAAAATGTCTTCCTTTTTTCTTTACCTTTTGGTTGATGATGTTGATCCAAGGGGAGGTACAGTTGCTAAAGTCAGGTCCCTGTAGGTCCCAGTATCCTTCGGGGCCCATGCACATATACGAAGCAACACCTTAGGAGAGACAAAATACACATCTTAGGAAAATTACCTTTTTTTATTTATTTTCTTTGTAGAAAAAAAAGCCTGTTTTTGTGCCATTCCAAGCGAAATCTTTGGAGTCGAGCTCATTCACATTTCCAATTTTTCCTCACTGCTTTTATTATAGAGTGATGCACTACACAATACGTTCAGGCTTGTCGACCATCTCCCACTTCTTCTACATATCAAGCTCCCTTTCGTACTTGCAAAAAGTGTCCAAGGAAACAGTATTTTTCAGCAATTCAATTASCAAAACCTGCAAAATGTAATTGGGTGGTTTTATCGTGAACTTCATTTTGAAGCCTGCTGGATGCTGTCTGTATTTAATCATTAAAAGTCAGACCTTGTCTGCCTGGGTGACAGTTCACGTCTTGCCTAAGAAAGAATGTGCCACAAAAATAAGGTGCCAATTAAGTCTGCCATGGCTGAATTCATCAAGAAAGGTCAATTAGGTTGGTGTGGGGAAAAGAGTGTCTGCTGACAGAGATCTGGTCTGATGAATCCATGGATTTTCCTCCATTTAAACACATTTACAGATACCAACCAACACTAAACAACATTTTTTTTWAATTTAAAGGAAGTGTATTATGTATTTTCCAGGCACATAATTTAATTCTATTCTACAATCAAGTTACCTTTAGTTGTTATGAAAATGCTGTTTATATCAAAAATAAACTGGACTTTGCATTAYAGTCGATCTAAACTCCTTAAAATTAGCCTCTGTCTCTTTAAGAACCTCCTACTATTCCTGATACTCCCGCTTCAGCACGTCATCACAATGTTTCATGACATTTACAACCTTTCGTAGAAGCGTTGTCTTTTGTTGTAAAAAAAGAAGCAACATTATATAACATACGTTTTGGAACATGACAACTCAGGAACTGGAGTGAGTWCAGAGGCTCCTTCAAGATGTTTCAGTTTAGTAATATACATGTATCTCCCAGTCATCCTTTCATATATATACACCAATGTTAGCTACTTTTTGTGAAAAAATTATAAATATCGATAATTATGAGTAACATTATACAATAAAAATCATGATCACCCAACATTTTAAAGATTCATTTTGAAACAAAATCCCTGAGTTGTAAAGATATTATTTCTCCAGCTTTTAGTTTGGTGGAGCTATTGGAGGGAAGCATGGGATRCTCTGGCGAGCTCGGCTGGGGACTGAGCTCCAGGGAGGAGCTTTAGACAGATAGGCGGTGCTTTGCACCAGCAAGCATTGATGCAGCTTCAAATAGCTACCATCGGAAATTCAAGGATTTTTCAAACATGCATGAATGAGTCAAARCAASAGTCGRTATGTTTTTGATGAGGGAATGATGTTATAACATGATATAAAGCTCAAAAACGTTTGATTTTGCGTGATACTCTCCTTTAAATTTAACCCTGTTTATCTTTAAAATTACCATTCGATCTGTAACTAAATCAGTTGATTCACTCAATCTCACGTAACTGGATCATTTTAATGAGCGCATTTTCTGTTTTTACGTACATTAAAGAATAGCCTGTGTTTTTTTTTTCCTCTGCTGACATAAGCAAAGCTACACACTGACATTAAACTGCCCTTTCTTGTACAGAGAAGGAGGGGGCTGTTGTTGGAGGGGGACACGGCCTGCATTAACAGATATAAATTTTGACTGACATATAATTTCCTCTACCAGTCCACCTTAGACAGCCTTATGTTTGATGGGTTTATAAGATAAGTGACTCTGCATATCCTCCTCTGCTGAGCGACAGGACCAAGGAACGTGAAAGGAGAGAGGAGCAGGTTAGAGAGGGTAGGAAGAGCGACAGAGAACCAAAAGACGGAAGGGGGGTGGTGGGGGGCTTCGAAGAAGTTTCAAAGAGTGGCAGAGGAAGCTCACAGTGTCGTGTTCGAGCTGACAGTGTTGTCTGAAGTGCGATGGCTTTGAAGCGTGCGCTGAGTGAAGGTGGGGTACGGGCTCTTCTTATCTTGCCATGCAATGGCTGTTAGTGAGGCCTCAACGGGTGCTGGCGTTGCCCCTTAATGAAGATTGCACGCCTGTGTGTGTGTGTTTGTGTGTGTATATGAGCCTGCAGCCTTCAAGTTGAATTTAAGCCCACCAGTGCTGAGCCTACTTAGAACAAATTCAGGGTTTTTTATTTTATTTTATTTTTTTTTGTTAGTACAAGTGTCGCATAATYGGTTGACATGGAGACTTACGAGCGAGCTGGAAAAGCAATTTACCAATATCTGGTTTTCAACAACCTCTGGGTAAAAAAATGGCAAGTTGTTCAAGTGAAGCCAAAAAAATATATAACATTTGTACAACAGTTTGTAAGAAAATACGTGTTCAATAACGGCTGAAGTCAGATGTTCTCTGCTTATTCAAGATCATCCATCACGTCGGGGTCACCAAGTTGGACACAAATCAGGTTCAGACTAACTTTCACAATCCATTCTTAAAAAAAAAAATTCGACAAAAATTTCTTGTTTAAAGTATTGACAAAATTGGCTAAAGAAGTGTTTTATTTGTACACTGTAAAAA